GGCGGGGGGGGGGGGGGGGGGGGGGGGGCAGCCCCGACGTCACTCACCTGCTTCGTCCCGCTCGCTGACTTCAAAACAGCTCCAGTAATCTTTGTCCTTTGTGACGATTTTCCTTCGGTCTAAGATTTCAAAAGTCAGTTCTTCTGCCGTCATGGTGGCCGGAATCTGGGGGGGGGGAAGTGAACGTGAGCCCTCCGCAGTAGCCCCCGAGCTCTCGACCCAGGTCCCCGGCCGCTGCGAGGCCCAGAACCATCTCCCCTCTGAGAGGTTGCTCTCCCATCTTGTAAAAAGTGGAAGAGCAACGGGAACTGAAATACTCTTGCGTCATGGGGGAGGTCTTTCCCATCACCTCCTGGTCTTTTAACTGGAGATGCCGGGGATTGAACCTGGGACCTTCTGCATGCCGAGCAGAGGCTCTATCATATGAACACATGAAGCTGCCGTCTGCAGAATCAGACCGTCAGCCCATTGAGGTCAGCCTTGTCTACTCAGACTAACTAAAACACTAAATCACCTTGTATAATTTTGCAGTTTTTGTCTGTTTTTATATTATGCTAAGTGTGAAATTTTAAAAGTATTTTTAGAACGATTCGTTAACAAAAATACAACTTGAGCATTAACCGTGAAGCTCACAAGTACATTCAGAACGATGCCACTTCTGTAGAAATATTTACATGCAACAATGAGGTCTTGTCTTAGGCACACACTCCTAATCTAATGTACTTATTACAAAAACAACTGAGAAAAGCAACGGCATTCTAGTAATCATTCCGTCTGCATGTTCTTCGTCAGGTTTGTCTGTTGTTGTTGATTCATCACAATCTTGAAGGTCACATTCATTTTGATCATTTGTATTAAAAATCGAAACAGTTTCAAATAAAAAATATTCCCAAACTTTAGAAAGCCATAGATTAATTTACCAACTGGTAAATGGTATCCAATTGTTGATAAGTTGACCTTCAATTCTTTTAATTGGGAATCTATCAGTAAAGCAAAATACTCATTACTGTTATTGTTAGTTCGCTTTTACCAATATATGTTTAAGAGAGGCTGGACACTTATACACTGCTTGATTTATTCAGGTTGTTTTTGCTACATTGACGCTTGAGAACCTGTATGTATTCGATATGTTTTATGTTGAAACCCAATAAAATATTATGGTTAAAAAAAAATCACAATCTTGAAGTACTGAAGGCAAAGTTTCAAGATGATTAGTACTAGTTCATATACTGTATTGGTGCCATGCTATTGCATTTAAGTTCTGGTGACTGGGTACCGCCAATATTAAACTATGATGTGACTAGGTCTAGGGAGCCAGTTTGGTGCAGTAGTTAAGTGTGCGGACTCTAATCTGGGAGAACCGGGTTTGATTCCCCACTCCTCCACGTGCACCTGCTGGATGACCTTGGGCAAGCCATAGTTCTGTCAGAGCTGTTATTGAAAAAGAGCAGTTTCTGTCCGGGCTCTCTCAGCCCCGCCTACCTCACAGGGTGTCTGATCTGGGGAGGGGGAGGGAAAGGAGTTTGTAAATCGCTCTCCTTCGGGCAGTGAAGAGCGGGGTATAAATCTAATCATAGAATCACAGAATGTTAGAGTTGGAAGGGACCTTGCAGGTCATCTAGTCTAGTTGTGGGGAGGGGAAGGGAGAGGAGTTTGTAAGCCGCTCTGAGACTCCTTCGGGCAGTGAAGAGTGGGATATAAATCCAATCTCTTAAATCAGAATCATAGAATCATAGAATGTTAGAGTTGGAAGGGACCTTACAGGTCATCTAGTTCAACCCCCTGCACTTTGCAAGAGCAGAGCCGAAGGAGAGCCCTACAACATACCCGAAAGATGGTCGTCCAGCCTCCGCTTGAAAACATCCAGCGAAGGAGCATCCACCACCTCCCGAGGCAGACTGTTCCACTGCTCAGTCACTCTTACAGTTGGGAAGTTTCTCCTAATATTTAGCTGGTATCGACTCCCTTGTAATTCCCACCCATTAAATCTAGTCTTGCAATCCAGAGCAAGAGAGAATAGATCCCCTCCATCTTCTACATGACAGCCCTTCAAATATCTGAAGACTGCAATCATGACCCCTCTAAGCCTTCTCTTTCCCAGGCTAAACAGACCCAACGCTTTCAGCCTTTCCTCCTAAGACTTGGATTCCAACCCTCTCACCATCCTGGTTGCCCTCTTCTGGACACACTC